TATGGGATATTATTAGTAACAGGTGGTTATGCTTCGAATTCTTTGTCGAGTTGCGAAGTGTATGATCCCCCATCGAATACGTGGACTTCAGTCGCCAGCATGTCATCAGCACGTCGTGTGCACACTGCAACTTTATTATCATCCGGGAAAGTATTAGTAACAGGTGGTTATGCTTCGAATTCTTTGTCGAGTTGCGAAGTGTATGATCCCCCATCGAATACGTGGACTGCAGTCGCCAGCATGTCATCAGCACGTCGTGTGCACACTGCAACTTTATTATCATCCGGGAAAGTATTAGTAACAGATGCTACAAACGGAAATTCTTTATGTGGGAGTAGCGAATTGTGCGATTCGTAGACCTCCTACTAACTAAATCACAGTATTTTACTGTTTCGAAATTGATATTTCTGCACCTTGATTATTGTTGTCAGCTGATGGTGTACTGCTTGTTCTGCTTCTGAAAAGAAACTAGGAACTGAGGTGGTTGAACAGTGGAATGAATGCGTCAAGTGCAGCAGACTGTTCACTGCTGTTCTTTCCAGAATGTGGCCGTCGTACACTGTGAAGCGTTTCCTGTCACTCTGGCACTGATGATGTAAAGTTCAGACGAAAGGCTCACTGCAAGAGAAAGTTCCTTGAATTGTGTTGTGAAATACGTGTGTTATCTGGACGTCATTTTTAGCGTTAGTATAGGGTCAGGCCGTTATAAGCACACTTTATTGGAAACATCGCGAATAACATATATCGTTAGTTTCGGTTTCGAGAAAATTTTGGGAAAATCGCAGCAGCCAAGTTTGTATAGAATGAAAGACTTACGCTTGTTTACCCTCATCTACTCTCATATCACATTTTGAACGTAATTCGCGGTGGATTTTGTGACCGAAAGAATACTGTCTCATGTACTTCTGCCACACATTTGTAACGATCAGCGAGAGAATGCTTTTGTTATATTTGTATACAAATACATATCCAGGAATATATTTGCTGCGTCCAATATGCGATGGGACAGTAACTGTTGATTTTATGTCTCTATCTTGTTCAAAACGGACTTTGACGACCCATAATTTGAGTAATGTCGAAACAATTTCTTAAATAGAATTTGCACTACTAATTTGACTAGCCAAACTAAGTGATTTTCCTAGATTGAGTGAGTAGATCGCAGGAAATATATTCGTGAATACACTTTACCACGAAAGACTGGTTGTTGTTTTAAAACTACACCATGTGCAATTTAAAATTATTTTTTCGATATTCGACCTCCTGATGGTAAAGCATCGATATGAGAAGAATATCAGAATAAAAGAGCACACAAATACTAGGAAAAGAATGAAACCGTAAGCACGGAGGACGATAATTGAATAGATCTCTGTTAAGCTCTCTAACCTGGTTTGAAAACAGCGAAGACTTCCAGGAACAATCCGAAAAGTCTCAAGGACAGCCTAGTAATAGTGTTGATTCGTAAGGAGAGTAGCGAAGTTTCAAAAAGCGACCAAGAATGAGACAATACATGCCTAGCTGTTGGATTTGTTAAAATAAAACGAGAAAACAGTTTCAGCCTGTTCAAACATTTTCTCATGAAATATTTTGGTTCAGCCATTTAGCATATTGACAGACACCAGCACAAGTCTTAAATCATCTTCTCATTCTTGGTCGCTTTTTGAAACTTCGCTGCTCTTCTTACGAATCAACACTATTACTAGGCTGTCCTTGAGACTTTTCGGATTGTTCCTCGAAGTCTTCGCTGTTTTCAAATCAGGTTAGAGAGCTTAACAGAGATCTTTAAATACTTTAGTTTTACCGGGGCTTTATCAGAGTGAATCGCTTTGAGACTCAAAGGACGTACGAAATAAAAGTGCATTTATCCTATTCAATTATCGTCCTCTGTGCTTATGGTTTCATTCTTTTCCTAGTACTTGTGTGCTCTTTTATTCTGATATTCTTCTCATATCGATGCTTTACTATCAGGAGGTCGAATATCGAGAAAATAATTTTAAATTGCACATGGTGTAGTTTTAAAACAACAACAACCAGTCTTTCGTGGTAAAGTGTATTCGGGAATCTATTTGCTGCGAATCAACACTATTACTAGGCTGTCCTTGAGACTTTCCGGATTGTTCATGAACACGCTGAAACTGTTTTTTCAGTTTATTTTAACAAATCCAGCAGCTACGCATGTATTGTTTCATTCATGGTTGTGTAAGTAAGTGTATTCAATTTAAAACACGTTTCGATAGCGCTCAAACGAAGAAAGCTTACAAGAGAGTAAGCTACAGATTCACGCAGCTTCTCACATAGTAAATCGTTTTCCCAAAGGCACTAGCCACAAAAATCCGGATGGTTTTATCTTCGGGATGGTTTTTCCAAGTGTAGGAGAAGAATCGAATGAAAGGTGATAACTGAACGGTCAGTGGGTCAGATCTTTCAATGATGACAGTTACAAGCATAAATATCAGAGAAGGACAGTATGAAAAGGATGTCAGTCTGTCTTGTTATTTGTTTTTGAGAAAGTTTTTTTCTTAAATAAATTTCAAAAAAATTTCCAAAATCGTGTCATAGAAAAACTTCAAAAGAATAGTTTTGCCAAAAGCAGAAGATAGCTCCATTACATTTTATGTATTAAACCCTTAAGATTTTTATAGGCTATGATGTTGGTTATTCTGGTTCGGATCAAGGTAATATTTTTCTATTTTCAGTGTGTCGCACAACTCAACACCATTTGCAAGAGTACCTTTTTGTATTCATTAGTCGAATTCACACCTTGATCACTTCTTTGAGCTGTATCTTGCAGTACTGTAATGCTGAAAAATTTTCTTGTGAGAATATCTGATAGTCACATAAAATTTGACGAAAAACTCCTTCCACTATTAAACATTTAAATTCATCGTATGTTAAAGGTTTTTTACGAATTATTTTATTCAATCTTTCCTTTTTTTTTCCATCCTCTGATGATTGTTGTCCTATATTTGGACGAGTAAACCACATACAAGCTTCTATGACTTCAATAAATGTTTGATCTGTTTGTAAAGCATTAAATGCTTCACCAATTTCTCGATGTGTCGGATTCAAGACCAAAAATGTTTTTAAAACTTTTGTAAAATCATCCCATTCCAAATCAATGTTTTGTCTTTTTCTTTCCTCATAATTGTGTTTAATTTTGGAAAGATTTTTTCGAATTATTTCTTCGGTTTCTAAATACAGAAAAAAATGTAGAAATTAAAGGTATGTTAAAAGATTTGGAAGTTATATAATATGAAATATCGCGGAATTATGAATTGTTTATGAGCTTTACATTTTGTACGTGTAACCAATTCAAATGAATCACAGGCCAAAAGATAAACAGTATGATTCAGACAGTCTGCTATTGAAAAGAATATTCCCTCTGTAAAATGACTACAAAAAATAAACTTGAAAACTCTTAACTAGAAAAACTTCACCTCTCATTAATAACCAAAAAGAAGAGGTGTTTTACCTGGGTTGCTACAAAATTCTGTTCCTTCTCTTGGAAAATGTTGACCAATTTCTATCGCTTCTTGACATCTTTGAGGAAATAAGAGTTGTCGAAAAGAAAAATAGTAACTAGGCAAAAATAATGACGAGGTTAAATATCAATAGTTCAAAATTTCGTTATATTACCGTTTTTTGTTAAAATCTTCAATTACAATAAGTTCTAAACACTTTGCAGGATCTAATAAATTTTTTACAGTAATCTTTTTCAGTTTGTCAAGTTTGATACTTTTCACGTTAAATACACCATCCTGAAAATTATACAGATAAAGTGTTATCTATTTCTTCTTCTTTACTGACTGACTTATTCAAGTTTATTCACTTTTCTATGCTGTTTTTGTTTCAAACATTTGCAAAACTTGGTGCTTTTGGCTCATTAGAATTTTTTCTACTTAAAACTTTTCTTATTTCCAGAATAAGAATTTCCATATTTATCCTGAATATTCAGCTTCAAACTTTTCCCATTGAATGGAGGAAACACTTGTACAGTATATATGACTTAAAATTGTTTATAAATTGTGATATGAAATGGGTACAATTAGTTTTGAGTTTTACTTTACCCAATTTATCTTTATCAATATGAATTTTTGAACCTTCTATCATAGTACGAATCGATTTCAATTCATTGTCCATTCTTTCAAGTTTAGCTGATAAATCTTCCTCGAGTCTTGTGCGTTCTTTTGATACATCGGGTTTTTCTCTGTAAATAACATAAAATTAAGTTGAATTCTATGTAATTCCATGCACAAATTCTGGACCTTTTAGATAGTGCTGGTGAAAGAGCTAACGACACCGAATCGAGTGTTTTTCGAACATGAGGATTTGTTGCGTAGATTTCAAAATTCATCCATTCATTTTTCACATCATCATTACGAGGAATCATTTCTATACCAAGCGGAAAAGAATAAACACATACACTATGACTATTTTTTCACCAATGTGCTTTTTCATGCTATTTCGTCACTTTTTTAATTTAGGAGATAATATATTTAAAGAGGGAAAAAGCTCCAAAGTTTTTGATTTATTCGTTTTTGTTGATTCATTAGGTACCAAATTTGATTTTCTCTTTCTGTTGCATCATGATCTTCACATCAGTCTACCACTATTCACAAAAATTCATATCTTCACCTCAAGTTTAATAAAATATTATTAAGAATCATTAAAGATATAAGAAAGATCATATTGCATTTTTTAACTATAGCATAAAAATTAGAAGTGTATACAAACGTATCGTACACTTTTCTCTTTATTGCAGAAAGCAAGATGGAATTAATAAGTTTTCAGTGACCATCGCGTGATTTCTCGTGAGCAGAATTATTATGACAAGCTTTTTGGACTCACTGAATTTAGGATGGTTTTTCTTTCGTAACAGCCACCAAATATAAACAAAAATGGTTAAGGGCGGTGGAAGCGGTGGACGAAAAAAATATTCTCGTACGATTGTGTAACGATCATACGACCAAATCAATTTTGACTGCTCTTGAACTTGGTCAACCGTACGTCTTAAAGTCGAAGAGTACGATTAACTTTTAGCCAACCAATTCAGATATACCTTTAAGTTTTTCTTATGATAGTTCATGCAAGCAGTAGAATTTGCCATAGCCAAATGAGTATAGAATTTATATTCGACGATGTTTGATGTTTGTGCAGACTTTTCAAATGCAGAAACAACGTCGACTGAAAGAACAGTCCAATCTTCTTTTTTGCAGCTTTATTCTATAAGTATAAAAATATTCAACTTTGATAGATGCCAAAATTGACTAACCTATGATGCAAAAGTAATTGCGGAAATCTCCAGTCATGGTTCTCCGCTCAGGAACATCGCAGAAAGTTCATTCTTTTTCTGATTGAAAGAGCAAAGCCTGAACTTCAAAAAACATAGAAAACAAGATTTTTGTGATTGGCTTTGAGGAAGAAAAAAGTACGATACTAAATGTCGCTAAAACAGCTCTTGCAACTTCTGTCCTCTTCAAACGTATCTCTCGCATCAAACCTGTTTTTCCCTATACAGAATACGTTTGAAATTATATAATCATAAAAACTAGAAGTGCTTTTATCACTCTTTCAAATAGGGTATGATAAATTAAGCTTTGATTCACTTTTCGACCGGAACTTTACAAAATTTTTCATTAGTTTAGAAAACACGTAATTAGACTTAATTAATAATTTTCAGATACTGGACAAATTTCGTCCTTTTTCTAAAGCACATTTTCTGGAACAACATGCGATTCTCTACAAATTCACATTACTTTAACGTTTACTAACATGTTTAGAGCTCTGAATAACGAATTTTTCTCGATGTCACATCTTTCCAATGCAAAGTAGTGCTTTCCATCAAAATTAAGACTTATAATGCGCTTTATTTACCGTTAAAGAATTACTGAGAAACTTTCTAAAGTAGGGAGGTCGATAGAGTTTTGTACGGGCTACTTTCTTATCTATTTGGCTTTCCAGAAAACGTTTTCTTCAGACTCTAGTAAAAAAATAAAGAAAAAAAGTATGTTGCAAGAGTTTTTTTAGCGACATTTAGTATCGTACTTTTTTCTTCCTCGAAGCCAATCACAAAAATCTTGTTTTCTATGTTTTTTGAAGTTCAGGCTTTGCTCTTTCAATCAGAAAAAGAATGAACTTTCTGCGATGTTCCTGAGCGGAGAACCATGACTGGAGATTTTCGCAATTACTTTTGCATCGTAGGTTACTTTACTTATTAAGAATGTCAGCGGTGGTGTTTTGAGGGATGTTAGTTATACCCTTTTGAATTCAATATAGAGATCAATTGTACCTACGTAAATAGAGCTATTAATAAATTAAGAAGTAAAATGTTAACAAATATCATTTGACCAGCAAGTAAGACTTGAGTGGCCTTATGTGTACCAGCAGTTAAATTATCTAGAAAAAAAAACAAATTAATCATCCAATACTATAATTAGTTTCTAGATCAATGTTAAATACCCTCTAACAGTTTTCTTTCATCATCGAAACTTCCAAAAATAAAATAATAAACCGGATAAATGATATTTTCAAATAATTGTGTGAAATCAAAATTAAATGTACCATATAGATACACTGAACGTGAAGCAACACCATAGGCACTGATTGCGATCAGTATTAGAAAGATGAAAAATAGTAAATCCTGACTCTAAATAAGCAAAACTATGTTTATATTGGTAAGAGTAGTAAATCGTGAAAATGCACTAGATTGAAGAATATATTTAAAAAAGACAGTAAACAATAAACAAACCATTTTTCTTATCATAACCAATCTTGGTCCAAGAGTTTTTGATACACCAATGAATAATACAGCTTTTATAAACCATAGTTCCAGATCATATGCCAGAATAATCCTAGTAAGCAATGAATTGAATATTACAAAACGAATTTTCATACACGGTTGTTCTTGGTGTAGAGCAAAGAACGATGAATAATGAAAAAAACCTTTTGATCACAGAAATTAAATAGTTTAAATGTTTTTGTACCTGGCTATTGAAAATGAATCACTATTTTTGTATATAAATCTTAATATTAATCCAATATAAAATAGTATGTATGCTTGAAGAACCACAAATAAATTAGAAGTTCGATCATGAATATTGAAATATGTTTTAAATTTTCTCCACCATGTTTTGTTCTCTTGCAGAAAAACCTAATAATTAATACTTAAAAATTAAGATTCCACTAAATATTAAGAATATTCTAAATATTTACCTGTCTAGCATCTTCGATAAGCATTGTTGTAACAGTAATAATTGTCAATATTTCTGTCCAATGTATATGAGGTGTTTTAGAAGTAACTGGATTAAAGTCGAATAACATAAAATAACTGAAGAATAATAAAAAGCATACATAACTCACCTAAAAATTAAGTGAAATAATGCAATTTAACAACAGTCATATAATCAGACAGTTTGGTCCCATAGCCCGAACGGAATATATATATACCATTCGGAATATGAAAATATATCCTGATCGGGCCATGAAATCCTGATCAGGATATATTTCGGACTATAATATATATCCTCTTCGGAATATAGCCCGATCAGGATATAAAGTCAGCGACATAATTTTAGGACCTTTTTTGTTTTTGCAATAACTCGGCTCGTGAAGTAGCTAGTGACTTAGTTCTTTCGCCATCAGAGAGCCCATCGTTTGACCTATTTGCACCACAAAACTCGTCAAACTCGGAGTCGATCTGTAGGAGCTATAGCGAAATCTGTTATGCTCCAGTCGACATAATTTTAGGACATTTTTAGTATTTCTCTTTTTCTGATCTAAATATTTGACTCAGAAATTTTTAAAAGTAGCCTACTGAGTGCACATTTCCACGGGCTACATTATGGTAAAAACATTTTCGTTCCATCACGATCAGATACTTATTAAAGTTAGAATTGTGATGGCGCTGTGAAAAAAATTAGTACAATATCCAATTCCAACACCAAATAGTGTGTTGTAAAGCCCGTAAAAAACTGAACAAAGCCAATGTTCTTTTACTGGGGAACGAGTTTTGTTTTAACAGAAAAAATAAGCTTTAAAACCTTTTAACCAATGATGGATTTCTGAATTTTAAAAAATTTCATAGATAAACCACACCAAAGATTCTTGTTAAATTGATTCTTGTACAAAATGAAACCAATTACAGCGCCGTAGAAGAAGCCGTTCAGTCGGTATATCCAAAATCGTTTTACTCACCAAAACGGCGTTAAAAAAAAAGCGGCAAAAGCGCCATCTTACACAGATACAAAGGCACTTTCTTTAAAAATTCCTCATTTTGTAGAGAATGAAATTCTCTACAACAAGAATCTGTTTGCCAGAATTTTTAGCGTAGTCTGTCTATAATATTTCTTTAAAATTCAAAAATCGGGTCAAGTTCACAAAGTTTCAAACCTTAATTTTGTGCTTTGAAGTTATCTGGTTAAGAATAAAAGTATACTATTTCGTGCAATTTTTTGCGCTCTTATCAACGCACTAACGGCTGTTGAGATTGGATCGCCTGATGATTAATGAGCTACATTTTCCTTTGCACCATCATACTTCCGAATTATTTAATTAAGTGTTAATCGTGAGACAAAAATATTTTTTCGAGAATATAGCGCGTCAAATTCTGCATCGAATGGTATGTCTTTGAAAATTGTTGAGTAATATATCTATGTAAGGAAAACAGAAATACAAAAGAGTCCTAAAATTATGACCGCTGGAGCGTAATAGAATTTGCTATAAGTCCATCGCATCAAGCCCGATCCTAGCGATTCTTGTAGTGTAGATATTCCAAGTGACAGGTTCTCTTATGGCGAAAGAATTAGGTCTCTAGCTACTCTAACAACGGAGTTATAGCAAAAACAAAAAACATCCTAAAATTATGTCGTTGACTTTAGTTTTATATCCCGAATGCGATATGGTATACTGAAGGCATATCAAGACACGGTGGTTTTTGTTTTTCAGTGTGCGAGTGTGAGTCCATCTTTGAAGAAAACTAATAATATTACATTTACATAAGTATGTAAACTAATATAAACTACTCAAAAAAGCATTGAACTATTTATGCACATTTCCCGAGGCTATTTTGTATATCCCGACTGGAATTTAAAAAATAGTGAACGGTAGACTTTTGAATCCAGACTAGAGCATCATGGATTCCGACTCAGTTTTTCATCCGCTTTCTTATGCTATCCGCTACTTTTCTGCAATAACGTCACGATTTTTGTGATAATGACTTTTTTTAAAATGTTTTGCAAAAATATCCCGAACAGTATATAAATTTTCTCCGATATGCCGTTCGGGATATGAGGTATATTTCGAACGCAATATCGTTGGTAAGACCGGACTGTCAGAATTGGAGCGTTTGTCTGTTACCCAATTGTAATTATATTTGGCTATTGGTGAGTTATGAAAATCAATCCAGCATTGTAAGCCTGTTGAGCTGTTATCAAAATTCTTAGGATAATCGATACCATTCGGTTCCAATCTTAAGAATGGTATAGTTACATTAATAATGATTAGAGATTTCCAATATCATATGAAAAGAAATTTATCTTACCTCGGATTTCGTTGATGTTCTGTTTCATCACGATGTGTACAATCCGAATTCTGTTTAAAAAAAAGACCTAGTGTTTGTCAGTTTAAAAGCAGGCGTTCTAAAACTAACTCCAGTGTAATTTAGATGCAAATTTAACGTCACAAACCTTCATTTTAGTGTTTGAATTTCTTGGTTTCTGAATTGTTCTAATACTATATGGTATATTAAGTGTAATTAAATCAAAATAGAACCAGTATTTTCGTCTGGATTGTTCAATTCGATCATACCATATATTTGTTAATAAAAAATGACAAGTTTCTTCGTGAAGAAATTTTTTGCTTTCTGCAGCAATAGCCACCTTCAAAATGGGAAATTAAATAGACTGAAGATTCAACAGTTGATTGATTCACCTGTAAACACGTTATTCTACCAAATAGCTCGATTTCACGTATCACTAATTCAGAAGCATAAATTTTATGATCATCACAACAACATTTTAAGCATTCAATAGCAAAATTTTCAAAATCATCTGCTTCTAGATCTAATTTACTTTGCATTTCTTGAGAGCTCGGACTAGTTTTAAAATATAAAATGAAGTTAAAGTAATGACGTAACAGAGCCGGATTTTTGAGTTTTTTCTTGGTTTTATTTTCTGAAGGATTTCACCTGAAAAGTTCGATAAAAGCGCAAAAACTGGCGTATAAATTTCGACAACGCAGAAGAATGACGGCCTGAATCAAAAACTGGGCTCTGTTACGCTGTTCTCATATGTCTTAGCTTCAGTTTAAGATCAACCCGAGCTCTGTAGCGCGTAATTTGACGGAGAAATCTTCCCGACAGTGTTTATCACTTAGGAAAAAGTCGCTTTTGAGATATCGTGGCGCTAGTGTACGACACACATTTTAGGACTCTTAATAAAACTGTCATAACTTTTGATCAAAGCATTGCTTGGTTCTCGGAGATGTCTCATTTTAACCATAAATGTTTATTCTACGAACTGGACTCACTATAATTCTTTTTGATTCAGACATTTCATTGAAACACCACAATTTCAGAAAAATCAAGTTCCAGGGCGTTTAGAAGCTCTCTTCAAAATCCTAAAATCTTTGATATTGGCACAAATAGTATGGATTCTAAAAGTAGGCACCTTGGGCTTTTCAATCAAGCGCTTAGCTCAATATGGACCTTCTTTACAAAAATCCAAATTTCTAACCGGGCGGAGGGGGGTCTTAAAGCATCTTGAATATTTTTCGTACTAGTATTTTACAAACCTGTTTCTTTCTTTTCTGTACGGTTGAGAAATTTTGTAAGCAAATTAGCCAATGGTCCACATCCCTAAAAACATCACACGGTTAGATTTGAGTCTAAGGTTTCGAATAAGACTAAAGAAATTTTATATTCAATAATAATTTCTCCATTCAATAACTTAATTATTGCTGTTTTGTAAATTCAATTGATTGACCAGTCATGAGAAAAGTTTTATGAGATTCTACTGATTTTTGTACTGCTGACAATGAAGTAACTTACATCAATAATGACCACAGGAATTTTTTCACATATATCAAAAAAGATTTTCAATGTGTGTATTCGACCAGCAACTAGTATTGCAAGGAGTGGTACTAAAGTAAAATGACAATTCGTTTTTTCAACAAGCTGATAAATTAAAAATTGCAAGGCGTCCTAAAATAAGCAGCCAAATTGAACTATAACTCTAACAGTCATTATTACTGTCTTTCTATTTACATGGCAGTTTAATTATATTTATATGTAGCGGTACCGGTTTGGTAACTATTCTGAAATAAAACTTGTATCAACTCTCTATTCAGTGAGAAGCGTTTTAAGTGAATAGAAAAGCTTTGATCTCTTTTTTGGTTATGTAAACTTGCGAATATGTTCAAAGAGACAACAGATTACCGATCATGTACTTACTTGTTCGATGTGTACTAGAAATTTCTCGTGCTAGTTTCATGCCAAATTCACCCACACCACTAGGATTAAGTGTACCATCATCAAATAAAATAAATTGCGTATGGTGTGGTTCTAATTCTTGGGTGCCTTCTGTTTTCGGTTCCATTTGGTAAGTCACATGCTGATTACAATACTCCACTTTCTTAACATAACAAAAAAAGGCACTGAGAATGCAAAAATCATCTAAAATTTCTATAACAAGCTGCTACAAATCGACTTTCACCGGTTGTGCCATAAGTTTTGCGACATCTTATGTTTGTGAATATTTCAGTTTAGAAACAGCATAGATTATTGAACTTTTTTTAAGATGTACAATTTAGTTCTCTACAAAATTAGTGTTGACTAGATTTTAAAATAATAAAGTCTAAATGCGTAGAGATCAAACGTTTCGACAGAGTCAAGTTCAACTACTTTCCACTTCATTTTTCAATTTTTTATGTTTAAAATTCAAATGAATCCTGAGCTAATGAAATCAGACTGGCCAAAAGATAGTCTTTAAAAGTGTCTATCGGTTGCATATCGAGTTTTTCAATGCCCTACTCTCTACTCGTTCAATGATTTCTTTCTAAAAGTTACATTTCGAAAAATAGTTCTATTCTTTTGTTTCTACATAAATAACTTTTCCTAAGAAGCTTTTTTTAACTTCGTTCTTGATAGAGAAAGTCACAAAATACTTTTGAAAAACCTCATTTTTGCCCATTTTAAATTTTCTCGAACGATCGAATGTGATGACGTGAAACAACTGTGTAATTAATTCTTTTGCACTCATAGCATATAAATAACAGACAGGAAAAAATGAAATTGTTTGGCGCCTCTGCTCAACTCGGTTTGAGTCAGATCTGAATCCACACTAGTTGAGTCCAGTCCGGATTTTCCTTGGTAGAAGAAATCGGTTCGTTTCGGCCTCTGATAGCTAAGACCTGTTGGGTTAAAATGGTAGACGTATGGCAAAACAAAAATTCAGTATTGTAAAGCTCACTTCGTTCCAACTTCTCCAGTTTAAAAATGAAACTTTTCCCATTTTTCAATTAGGCCTTTACTGGTTTCCAGGCAACTAACAATCTCCAAAACCCGAAAAAGCTTTCCGGGTTTTCTAAAAATCCTCAGTTTGACAAAAAACTAAGACGTAATTCAAACATCGCTGCCTGTCAGTCCATGTAGTTTGTTTTCCTCTTTTAAACGAGAAAAGAATGAACTCTCTACGACAAACCGCTATTAAAAAGCTTGGAACGCACTTCAGGTGTAACTTCCATGTAGAGAAAACGCAGTTTAAAATGCTCAGTTTTAGGACTTGCAGGAAAACGCCTGTAACTTTTTAATGCAAGGTCAATCAGGGTTGTGCGAGATCTTATTTTGATCAGAAACGTTTGCTCTACAAATCTGTGTGCTCAGAAAAGTTTTAATCGTATTAGTATCTAGGAAAAAGCTATTATTTGAAGACTCGATTTTTCGAGGCTCCTAGAAAACTTGCTCAGAATCAGCGAAAAACCCCTTTTGTACCGAAAAGCGATACAGATTCTGAAAGCCGACACTTCAGGCTATCTTTACATGTGCGTACCTCAAGATCAATTTTTTGACCAAAAATCATCATTTCTGAGGAGGGGCGGCCCTTAAACAGCCAGAAAGAAATTATTTAATACCTCAGTTTTTGACAAAATTAGATCATGCCGATTTTTTATGTTAGCCCATTTGCAAATACCAATTGCATAATTTTTTTTTCCACTTTTAATTCACAATTATTATTTTCAGTTTTTAATTTGTTTTTGTACACGACCTCACCAACAAGTCTTGAAAGGGTTTCATCTTTGTAGTTTGTTTTCCTCTTTTAAACGAGAAAAGAATGAACTCTTTACGACAAACCGCTATCAAAAATCTTGGAACGCACTTCAGGTGTAACTTCCATGTAGAGAAAACGCTGTTAAACGCAAAATTAGATCATGCCGATTTTTTTATGTTAGCCCATTTGCAAATACCAATTGCATAAATTTTTTTTCCACTTTTCCTTCACAATTATTATTTTCAGTTTTTAATTTGTTTTTGTACACGACCTCACCAACAAGTCTTGAAAGGGTTTCATCTTTGTACCCGTTTGTCATTATCCACGTATCTAGAAATAATATAAAAGAAAAATACATGCATAATCAAAAGTTAACGATTACCTTGATCCCCTGCCTATACTATTATCCATTCCAAAATATGAGGCGCATGAATGTTTCTTGAATACTGTTTGATAGCGAAAACGATGGAAACCTGCAGTTTTCGACATTCGATAGGGAAGATCGGAGCAAATTTTTTCCTAAGCAAAGCAAATTTCAACGTCGTTTTCGAAAGTAGAGTTTTACAGCATCTTTGGAAAACCAATCTGGTTCTCCCAAAACTAAAGTGACAGCTCTTTTCTTACATGGATAGATAGCCCAAAGTGTGCTCTTTAAAATAGGAGTCAAGCGAGGCCTTGATTTCTAGCAGTTCGGATGAGGTATCGGCTTTCCTTGGAGATTTCCAAATTGTTTTCATCTAATATTAAAAAATTCCTAGATCACTCAAAAAGCATCAGAAAGAGTTGAAAACGTTAGGATATAGTTAATTGTGTCCGCTAAACGTGATTATAGGATGGAAAAAATTGAAAAACCATATTTTTGTTCAAATGTTATCTGGAAACCCTTTCGGACAACTATAGAGTTTTGTAATTTGTTTTGAAGATTTCTTATAAGTAGAATATAGAATAGCACAACTACCGTATATTCTGAAGTACCGTGTCCGAACCGCTGAAATCAAGGCCCCGCTTGACTCTCATTTTAAAGAGCACACTTTGGACTATCTGTCCATGTAAGAAAAGGGCTTTATTGTCACTGTAGTTGATTTGATCAGATTTTATTTAAAGTGTAAACAAGCGTAGTTTGGGAGAACCAAACTGGTTTTCCAAAGATGCTCTAAAGCACTTCTTTCGAAAAGGATTTTGAAATTTGTTTTTCTTAGGAAAAAACGTGCTCCGATCTCCTCTATCGAATGTCGAGAACCACAGGTCTCCATCGTTTTTGCTATCAAACATTATTCAAAAACATCCGTGCCTTATATTTTGAAATGGATATTTAGTTTCTGTTTTGATAGATCATTTTGGTATTACATGTTATATGAAATTTTGAGTTCTCAAAAGTCTATTAGTCAGTTTGTTGGAACACTAAGCGGGATCTTACAAAAACGGCTCTCGAGTATCATTGTATACAGGAACTACTCAGAACTTGGGAGAAAGTTGCTTCACCACTCAATAATACAAAATACGCTACCTGATCCTAATGCAGACTCCGTGATACTATTAATCAGTTCCTTTTCCAAGTGTACGCTTAAAACAGAACCAAATCTTCCAATGATGGACAGTATTAAATCAGGTGTCTTCATTTTCCACACATCAAACATAACAGACGCTAGTTTAACTGATCAGTATGGATGTCACAACGAATATACTAAAAAATAAGAAACAAAGTAGACCCTTGTCAAATATTGATATGAAGCTTGTTATGGAACGAGCTGTTTACTATCTATACTGTTAGTCAGTTTCAGTCGTTCGTGCAACTGTTAGCCATCCAGAAAAGAGAATGGTATATGACTTTTGTTTGAATAACTTTTGAACGATGGTAGGTAGAGGGCTGCGTTTTTTGCCATTCGAAAGAGAAGACTTGACCGCATCTTTTTTTAAGTTCAAAATTAGTCGATAGCTCCAGGTGTTCGCTATTAAATTAGAATCCTCCGAACTCTTCATTTTTTGTTGTCTAGGCGTGACGTCGGATTTGTTAGGTAGCCCAGAGCTGGTGAGATGAAACAATTGGAACATAGGCCTTATTTCACTGAATATTAGAAATATCATAAATCACTCAAAATCGTTCCAAATGAGCTGGAAAATTCAGAATACAGTCACAGTAGTACCTTGTAGGTGCAGACAATAGACAAAAAAGCGAAAATTCAGTTTTATATCAAGAAGGTTTTACAGAGATCTGACAAGATGTCCTGCCTATGGGGACGAGTTCTTTGCATTTTTGCACTCTCTACAAGGAGAGCAACTTAAGTTAACTATATTCTGAAGCTTCCAGCTCATCTGGATCGATCTTGAGCGATTTACGAAATTTCTAATATTCAGTGAAATAAGGCTAAATTGCATATTTTCGAAAAAAAATAAGTTTTCACTAGGTTTTTTAGCTGTTTTTGACAAACAAATATTGTACCTTGTAGAGCTAGTCACTGCAAAAATTTTAAGTGTGAACCATTTTGTACGACTGAGTTTTGAATTTTTCTATTTTGACCATTTTCCGCTGGGAAAAGCGATAAAAATGCTCTAATTTTTTAACCAAGAGCTTTTGTAAGAAATCCTCTTAGGCTTTATACTACCACTAGGTAGGCTGCCTATTCCAATGGATTTCATTGGAAAACTCCTGTTACACCTGAGAAGGTCTCATCGTAAGTCTAAGACTTTATCGTTATGCTTATATTTGTACAGAGAATCGAATGAAAGCACTTTCAGCAAAAATATTACCAGCGAAAACCTCGATTTTTCTGGAGGGGACCTTGCCAGAATTCTTTAAAAGTAAACTTTCTTTTCGAAAACATGTCGAGCGGCACATTATTCGATGCAGTTTTATACAGAGATCATGAATCTGGCATTTATTTCCAGTAAAAATGTTTCGTAGCGATAACAACCGTTATTTTTCTAATGGGTATCTATCCCACCTACTATCATTGTTTCACACTTCTAACTATGATCGTAGAAGGGGTCAAATTTGAATTTTTTTCACACACTTGACGTAGATTTGTTAGTTCCAGGAGTTTTATTGTTTTGGCTCTGCGCTTTATGAAAACTATATGAACGATTTGCATGAAAAAATTGACTTTTTCAAAAGTTGAATTTCCAGTATGAAATAGAGAAATTAAATAGTTGGAAAGTTCGAAATATGCTTCGATATTTAGGTCCTTTCAAACGATCTGTCGCTCAAAAACGTTGGATGCATCAGTTGTAGCAGTTCTGTAACATTCTCGTTTCTACTTTTTCGATCTCATACCTTTTTGGTTTAAGCACGAAATACAAAAAATGATGTTCGTATTGTTTTTTACGTTTGT